GGACCCCCCCCCCACCAAAAAAAGAAAAGAAATTCTCCCAAGATAACACCTTCCAAAATGTCATTTGAACAAGAGTCCACACATCAGCCTTTGCTTCATAGGACCTTGAGCTTGACAGTTGGCACTAGGAATGGGCAGCCCTAATTACCAAGGCTGACTCTATGGTGGTACCACCGCTTTTTTGGGGGGGGAGAGGGCTTTGTTCTAGTACTGCAGCTTGAATGCAATGCCTGGATGTTGTCCCTTAGCTATTTCTCTCAAGGATGGTGCTCTACCACTTGACCACAGCTTCACTTATAACTTTTTGGTTGTTTATAGGAGGTAATAGTCTCTTGAGCCAGGTGCTGGTGACTCACCTATAAGCCTAGCTACTCAGGAGGCTGAGATCAGAGGATAGAGATTCAAAGCCAGCTTGGGCAGGGGACTCTTTGAGACTCTCATCTCCAATTAACTGGACCCTGAGTTCATTCCCCATAACGAACAACAACAACAATCTCTTGGATTTTTTTCTGCCTGGGCTGGCTTCAAACCTTAATTCTCAGGTCTCAGCCTCCTGAGTAACTAAGATTACATGTGTTTGCCACCAGCACCAGCTGATCTATATGTGTTGAAATGCCAAACTGTACCTCATAAATGCATAGCTACTACATGTCAGTTAAACATATACATTTATTAGTTTAAAAAATTGGGGGGACTGGGCACCAGTAGCTCACACCTGTAATCCTAGTTACTCAGAAGGCTGAGATCTGAGGACTGTGGTTCAAAGCCAGACCATACAGGAAAATCTGAGACTCTTATCTCCAATTAACCACCAGAAAACTGGAAGCGGCACTGTGGCTCAAGTGGTATAGCGCTCACCTTGAGCTGAAGAGCTCAGGGACAGCACCCAGGCCCAGACTTCAAGCCCCACAGCCGACAAAAAAGAAAAAGAAAAAGATTAGTTTTGGCCTGGCACCAGTAGCTCATGCCTATAGACCTACTTACTCAGGAGACAGATCTGAAGGTTCAAGGTTCAAAGATATCCCAGGAAGAAAAGTCTTCAAGACTTTATTTCTAATTAACCAGCAAAATGCTGGACTGTTGGCATGTCTCAAGTGGTAGAATACCAGCTAGCCCTGAGTTCAGGTCCCAGTAGCAGCACATACACAAAATTTTTTCTTGCAGTGCTAAGGAACAAACCATTGGCTTTGTGTGTGTTGGATGAAAGCTCTACCACTGAGCTTCTCAATTGTTTTGTTATTTTTGGTCATGGTTGTGGGGCTTGAACTCAAGGCCTGGGCACTATACTTGAGCTGTTTTTTTGCCCACGGCTAGTAGTTCTACCACGTTGAGCCACAGCTCCACTTCCAGTTTTCTGATGGTTAATTGAAGATGAGTCTTACAGCCTTTTCTGTCCAGGCTGGCTTTGAACCATGATTCTCACATCTTAGTCTCCTGAGTAGCTAGAACTATAGGCATGAGCCACCAGCACCTGGCTTTCATTTGTTTTAATTTAAAAAAGTCAGAAGAGCTGGGAGCTGGTGGCTCACGCCTGTAATCCTAGCTACTCAGGAGGCTGAGATCTGAGGATCATGGTTCAAAGCCAGCCCGGGCAGGAGAGACTGTGAGACTCCTATCTCCAATAAACCACCAGAAAACCAGAAGTGGCGCTGTAGCTCACGTGGTAGAGCGCTCGCCTTGAGCTGAAGAGCTGAGGGACAGCGCCCAGGCCCAGAGTTCAGGCCCCACGACTGACCAAAAAAAAAAAAAAAGGTCAGAGACATGATGGCTCACACCTGTAATCTTAGCTACTCAGGAGGCTGAGATCTGAAGATTGCAGTTCAAAGCAGCCTGGGGAAGAAAGTCAGTGAGACTCTTATCTCCAATTAACCAGAAAACTGGAAGTGGCGCTGTTGTTCAAGAGGTAGAGTGCTGGGGCTGGGAAGGTAACTCAGTGGTAGAGCACTTGCCTTGCATACTCGAGGCCCTGGGTTCAATTCCTCAGCACCACATAAGATAAAAGCCGGAAGTGGCTCTGTGGCTCAAGTGGTAGAGCGCTAGCCTTGAGCTGAAGAGCTGAGGGACAGCGCCCAGGCCCAGAGTTCAGGCCCCACTACCTACCGGACCTACCCCCCCCCAAAAAAGAGGTAGAGTGCTTGCCTTGAGCTGAAGAGCTCAAGGACAGTGCCCAGGCCCAGAGTGCAAGCCCTACAACCAACAACAGCAACAAAAAGTCAGGGAGCCAAAGGTTCTTGCTTAGTTTGTTTGCCTAAGGCTAGTCCTGTACCACTTGAGCCACACCTCTATTTGGAAATGGTTTGTTAGATGTGGCACCAAAAGTACAGCAAGCAAAGAAAAACATAAATTGGGCTTTTTCAAGATTTAAGTCGTGTGTGTGTGTGTGTGTGTGTGTGTGCGCGCGCGTGCATGGGCTCGCATGTGCACGCATATGAATGTCCATACTGACCTCTGAACTCAGAGCTTTGTGTTTTCCCCTTCTGGCCTTTTGGTGGCTAATTGGACATAAAAGTCTCACAGAAAGCCGGGCGCTGGTGGCTCACGCCTGTAATCCTAGCTACTCAGGAGGCTGAGATATGAGGATCATGGTTCAAAGCCAGCCCAGGCAGGAAAGACCATGAGACTCCTATCTCCAATAAACCACCAGAAAACCGGAAGTGGCACTGTAGCTCAAGTGATAGAGCGCTCGCCTTGAGCTGAAGAGCTGAGGGACAGCGCCCAGGCCCAGAGTTCAAGCCCCATGACTGACAAAAAAAAAAAAGTCTCACAGACTTTTCTACTCAGGGTTGGCTTCAAGCCACAATCCTTAGATCTCACCCTCCTGAGTAGCTAGTATTACAGGCATGAGCCACAGGTTCCTGGTTGTTTTTCACTTTTATGATGGAAGCAAAAGACCTAAATCTTGCCAGGCACCAGTCTGAAAGATCACAATTTGAAGACTACCCTGGACAGGAATGTTCATCAGACTCTTATCTACAATCAGTCACAAAAGCTACATGTGGAGTTGTAGTTCAAATGATAGTGCTCCAGCCTTGAGCAAAAAAAAAAAAAAACAACTAAAAGAGCACAAGACCCTGAGTTTCAACTTCATTACCAGTGCATGTACATATGTGTGCGCATGTGCGCGCTTGTGCGCGCAGACACACACATATAGAGTGAAAAACAGCCCATAGAATGGGGAAAATATTTGTAAATTATTTAACAGATATGGGACTGGTATACTGTATTGATAACGAACTCTCACAACCCAGTAATGAAGTGACAAATAGAGATAGAGCCAGGTGCCAGTGACTCACACCTGTAATCCTAGCTACTCAGGAGGCTGAGATCTGAGGATCAAGGTTTGAAGCCACCCTGGTAGGACAGTCCATGAGACTCTTATTTTCATTTAAACAGGAAAGGCCAGACATGGAACTGTGGCTCATATGGTAAAACACTAACCTTGAGCACAAAAGCTCAAGCCCTAGGATGAGTTCAAGTCCTGGACGAGATGGGGGGAGGGGAGAGAGGTAGGACAGAGACAGAGAGACAGAGGGAGAGAGGGAGAGGAGAGATCAGGTCTCTAGGATCAGTGGTTGGGGATATACCGGAAAAGCAAGTTACTGATCTGAAGGACCTCAACTTTGAGTAGAGCCCAGGATAGGAAAGGCATGGGCAGCAGATTCTGGCTGTAGCTCTAGCATTCCTAGTCTGTCCACGACCTGACAAAGCAGAGGCAAATCCTATGGCAGAGAAAAGTTTCCCTTCCCCCTCCCCTTTCTTCCCCTGCCCTTTCTCCCTCTTCCTCTCCCTCTCCCACACCTTCTCCTTCTCCCTCTTCCCCTCTCCCCCTCCTTGCTGATCCTGGGGCCTGAACTCTGGGCCTGGGTAAAGGACTTGCCTCTCCCTCTTGGCCCAATCATTTCATGTATATAAAAAGATGGAATATGAGGTGCATATCTAAGGTGCACACAGACCCCAGGTCTGCACAGATGTGCAGACACAGCAATTCACCTAAGCCTGGCTGTAAACATTCCATTGTGGGCCCAACTGAAAAGCCCCCCACTTCCCTAGACCTAGTGGCGTTTTCATTAACCTCTGCCTCCTTGTTCAGACCCGGTAAAAACCCAACTCCTGTCCCACTTCTTTGCACAGTCTTCAAGCCCTCGGGAAGGCGATGCCCCTCGTTGTTCCTCAGTGAACAGTCCTAGCCTGTAGATCGAGTCCCGCCTGTTTTCTTCCTTTCTCCTCCATTTTCCTAACACTGGGCACTGTCCCTGAGTTCCTAGCTTAAGGCTAGCACTCTGCCACTTGAGCCACAGCTCCACATCCTGCTTTGTTTGGTAGTTTAATGGGGATAAATGTCTCACAGACTTTCCTGCCCGGGCTGGTTAGGAAAGGTGATCCTCACATCTTGTCCTCTTGAGTATGTAGGATCACAGGAGTGAACCACCAGCGCTTGCTCCTAAACTTGAACTGTGATCCCCAAATCTCTGCTTCCCGAGCAACTAACCACCACACTCAATTTCATTTTCTTTTTTGTCAACTAACTAATGGTAAATTTGACTTTCTGTCATCTTCTGTGTGTTTTGGCACCTTTACTGATTCCGCCACCGTCAAGTCATAGCACAGTTTTTCCTCGCTACTATATAAATTGAGTAACCAACTATATAAATTGTTGGGGTTCACTGGCTTGATCCGGGGGGCTGCCGGGGTCCGGGTGTCCCTCAAAAGGGAAGATACCGGGCCCTGCTGGCAGTGGGGAGGCGACCCTCTGACTCCCACCCCCATCGGCGATTGCTGCCCACCCTGGACGCCAAGCCCTCCCCGCACCTCGGCCAGCCCCCCGCGCACCGAGGCGGAGCCGGCTCTCCCTCCACCGCACTCGGGGATTAGCGCGCTCCTGGCCCCGCGGCGGGATTAGCTCGCGTGGACTCCGCACCGGTCCGGGGATTACCGCGCGCTCCCCACGACGTGTATGTATATATATATGCCCGTGGCGGCCGCCCCAGGGCTGGATGGGCATGGCGGCGGCCGGGGGTGCGCCAAGCCGCGGGGGTCCCGGGCGGCCCTGCCCCTTCTCCATCGAGCACATCCTCTCCAGCCTGCCCGATCGGAATCCTGCGGCCCGACCTGCCCGGCCACCGCAGGCCAGCAGCCGCCAGAGCCCCTCCGAGCCCGAGGAGCCCGGGGCAACCGAGATTGTGCCCTGTGCCTGCTGCTGCTGCTGCGGCCCCCGCGCGGTGCAGCGTAGACCCCCCGAGGCGGCCGCCGGGCTGGGTGAGTGGGCGCAGGGCCGATCCCGAAGCTGATCGGAGGGGAGGGGAACCCAATTAGGGGTCCTGTCCCCCTGAACGTGGCGCAATCGGTGGAGACCTCAGTCCCCGCGTGGTCCCCTTACCACCCCGACCCCCCCGCAGGCTCACGTCTACCGTGGCCCTTGAGGCTGGGACCTGCGGCGCCCTTGCCCTTGGCAGCGCCGGCTGGAGGATCCGAGACGCTGTCCGGTGCTAGCGGACCCGGCCCGCAACGACGCACGCGACGCCACCGCACCATCTTCAGCGAGGAGCAGCTGCAGGCGCTCGAGGCGCTCTTCGTGCAAAACCAGTATCCGGACGTGGGCACGCGGGAGCGCCTGGCCGGCCGCATCCGCCTGCGGGAGGAGCGCGTGGAGGTGAGTGTCCTGCCTTGCGGGACTGCGATAGGGGCTGCGCCTCCCGCTCTTAATTTTCTATAATCGCCCGCCCTGATTGCCCGGAGGAAGCCCTGGAGGCCCAGCGTGGTGGAGGGAGAGGCTCCTCGGGGTGGCGCGATGGGGCGTAGGGCCAGTGCCCGGGCGGGAGGGGGGGGGGAAAGGGCGGGGGGAGAGAGGGACTGCACTGGTTAGGTAGGAATGGGCAGTTAAGTTTGGGCAGTTTATTTGCCTTTAAATCTCACTCGATGATAAAAGAGGCATTCGTTCAACGTTCCAGATTTTTGGGAAGTTCACAAATGCACAAATCTGCAAAGGGGCGTCCCAGTTGGCGCTGAGCAGACGCTGGGAGGGTGGGAAAGCGATTCCCATTCATTCCAGGAGCCACTGTCAACATCTGCCACAGTAAGGGGAGGTGAGGACTAGGCGCTGGTGGCTCACATCTGTAATCCAAGCTACTCAGGAGACTGAGATCTGAGGATTTGATTTGAAGCCAGCCTAGGCAGAAAAGTCTTTAAGACTTTTTTTTTTTTTTTTTGCCAGTCGGTGGGGCTTGAACTCTGGGCCAGGGCACTGTCCCTGAACCTCTCCGTTCTCAAGGCTAGTGCTCTACCACTAGAGCCACAGTGCCACTTCCGGCTTTTTTCTTTTTGCTTATGTGGTGCTGAGGAATCGAACCCAGGGCCTCATGTGTGTGAGGCAAGCACTCTACCGCTGAGCCACATTCCCAGCCCCTCTTTATGACTCTTATCTCCAATTAAACACCAAAAAGTAAAAAGCTGGGAAATGAAGCTGTGACTCAAAAGTGTTAGAGAACTAGCCGTGAGCAGAAAAGGCCAAGGGACAGTGCCCAGGCCCTGAGTTCAAGTCCCAGTACTGGTCCATGCATATACACATGGAAGGTAGCACTCACCCCTGTCCACCCACACCCTTATCTTTTTTTGTTTTTTTGTCGGCCATTTCCAGTTTTCTGGTGGTTAATTGGAGACAAGATTCTCAGGGACTTTCCTGCCCAGGCTGGCTTTGAACCCCAATGAACAGATCTCTGCCTCCTGAGTAGCTAACATCCTTATCTAAAGTCCTCTGTTCCTCTCTCTGGAACCAGTAGCATTTGACCACAGTCCTGGAAGCCTGAGTAGTCCCCTCTTCCTCCCTCTTTCTCCTTAGGTCTGGTTTAAGAACCGACGGGCCAAGTGGCGACACCAGAAGCGGGCATCATCATCTTCAAGGCTCCTGCAAGGCCCTAAGAAAGCTCCCAAGGAAAGCTGCTGCTGATCCTGAAAGCTACCCTTGGCCTTGGCTGTGACCTTAGGACCCCACACAGAAAGAAGACAGACCTTCTTCATGAACAAGGACTCTAGGGAGGAAGCAACCTCTTCCAAGAGTCTCCACACTTTCTGGTCACAGGAACTAGCGCTGGGTGTGTGTGCATGTATGTGTGGCAGAGACAATTCCCCCCTCAAGGGAGGGCATGCTAAGCACCTAGGTGCCCTCTCCTCCTGGATGACAGGAACTAGGAAGATTCCTTTGTAGGTGGAGTAAGGGCATGGAACAGGTCAGCCTCCTTAACACCCACTGCCCAAGGAGGCACTAACTCCACCCCAGAGCAGGAACCATTGCTTATCAACATAGGGCCCAGAATCTTCTCCAGTGGCCTCCACCCCAGGGCATACTAGTCTCCTATTTCTCCTCATGTAGACATGGACCCACTTTAACCCAGTATCTACATCATTTAGACTCATTGCCTCTTCAAATGTCCTGCACAAGGCTGTGGCATCTGCACCTGTTGAATAAGGTTGGAAGTAATTTCCAGCTTTTCACTTGCACCTTAATCTTTTTTTTTCTTTCTTTCTTTTTTCTGCTGGTCATGGGCCTAAACTCTGGGCCTGGGTGCTGTCCCTCAGCTCTTCAGCTCAAGGCTAGTGCTCTACCACTTGAGCCACAGTGCCACTTCTGGCTTTTTTCTGCTTATGTGGTGCTGTGGAATTGAACCCAGGGCCTCATGCATGCAAAGCAAGCACTCTACCACTAAACCACCTTCTCAGCCCTGCACCTTAATCTTTGAGCCCTGCTGATACCAAGAAATACACAAGAACTATAAATGCCACAAAGGCAGTCCAGAGTCCCATATTCAACTGAGCTCCATGTCCATACCCAGCCAGTAGCTGCCCCTCCTCCTTCCTTCCCAGGTTTTATGTGTGTGTGTCAGGGGGGGGGGGGGTTAGGGTGTTTTGGGGACCACAGCACAGTGAGTCATCCATATCCCATGCCAAATGTCCTCCAGTGAGTAGATGTAACATGGATAGTGGCAAGGTCCCCTGGGGGATACTGACCTGCTTTATGGATACAGGCCCTTGGTTTCCTCCTTCTGGGGATTTCCATGCCATCCTAGGCTTGAGCAAGATAAGGTTAGATCCAGGAACTCCATCCTTGCAGCTTTGGAAAAAGTTTCCCTTCTCTCTACCATCTTGACTAGTGGACCCCAAAGTTCCCAGTGCCCCATCTGGCTTGAGCATCTCATTCTATCTCCTTGTAGGTCCTGGTGGGTGTGGAATAGTATCTGTAAGAGACACGGTAACCAACACCATAGTTCTTGGGGATTTCAAAGCCTGGTGAGTTTGGATGACTCCCAAGTTGACATGTGTCCCTCAGCCAAAGCTTCCCCAATACTGCTGGGTGGCTTAAGGGCAGGTGCTGTCACTCCCATCTCCCTAGGACACACCATTATGACTGTCACAAAACCCTTCTAACTGAAGCTTGACTTTGCCTTTAAACACTGTCTTAGTAATGGAAAAAACTAGATCCTGGTCAGCTCCCTGCAGGCTGAGACACTCCATCTAGCTAGCTTCCAAGCCCCTTGTTCTCCTTAGCTAAACAGCCATTTGTCATCCTTTTTTGTTTTGTTTTGTTTTTTGGGTCTGGTTGTGGGGCCTGAACTCTGGGCCTGGGCGCTGTCCCTCAGCTCTTCAGCTCAAGGGTAGCGCTCTACCACTTGAGCCACAGTGCCACGTCCGGCTTTTTTCTTTTTGCTTATGTGGTGCTGAGGAATCGAGCCCAGGGCCTCATGCATGCAAGGCAAGCGCTCTACCACTGAGCCACCTTCCCAGCCCCCATTTGTCATCTTTTAGGGCAATCATGGTCAACCAACTGTGTCCAATGTATCTAAGCTCTACCTTCCAGGCTCTAACTGTCCTTCTGAATTGTTTCTTCCTCTCCAACTGCTCTTTGGCAGGCTGACTGCCCTTCCCCATCTACAAGCTGACATTAATGTAGACCTCTGGAGGCTTATCTCCTCATCCCCATTCTCTTCTTGGTTTATCTTTTCCATCCTTAGCTCCAATTCTATTCTCTTTGCCACATTTCTACTTCCATCTCCAACCCAGGACTCCTCCTTGGGCTAGATATTTATGTCAAACTGCCCCCAGACCACTCCTCTAGAAGTCTACAGGCTCATTGTCCACAATGAGTGCTCCCTATTCAATCCAAGTGTATGAACTGGAATCCCTTGTCCATTATATCTGATCCAATAGCAATTCAACTTTACTTCTAAAGAAACACATCAATCACTCCAGAATCCACTTTCTTTCAAATTCCAATTGCACTATCACCTCTCACTGTGACCATTGCATCTCTCTGCAACTATGTCTACTGGTACCTACTTTGGCTCCCTTTTAATTCAGAAAAAAAGGTGAAAAACTCACGAGCACCCATGAATCTCCCAGTCTAACAACTGCCTTTTTGGTAGCATCTCATACCTCACTACATTCTGTGTATATCCAAAAGTCTGCTTGTAACTTCCCTTGCTCCCTCCTACCACTAGATCTTTGAATATATTCTTTCCATACTTTCGTCCCATTGCAATGCCATTGATCTTTTGGATCTACAGTCACTTTGTCCAGGAAATGTCCTCTGATTTTCCCCACTAGATAAAGATTCTCTAAGTACAAATTCTTCTTGCCAGTTACAACTGCCACTTTACAATTTTATGTTTGTCTCCTCCACTAATTGAACCATCAGCTCTATGGAAGCAGGAACGTCACCAGAGTCCCCAGTGAATCCCAATGAATCAAGATGTGGTTGCATATCTAAAAGCAAGGTTGTATTCAATCATTCGGGGCTTGTTTGTAATAATTCATAACCTCCCTTTGGGAAGAAATTCCTGAAAAGTGCTTAGTAAGTTTTCTGTTTCATTTAAATGAGAAATGACCCTCTTCTGGGAAGAACACTCCGGCATTTAAAGGGGTAAATGATCACTAACCAGAAATTTCTTTACTGAACAACCACCTTCCCTACCTTATTTATCTTTTGTTATAATGATCTAGGAGGAATTAGCTTATTGTTCTTTCCTTGCATAAAGGTTGAAACTAGTATAAAACCAAGTTTTCTGAAGAGTGTTTTTGTTAATATTATTGAAGCGCATTGAGTGATTATTTGCGAGAATTTGGAAACCCAAAGCCTTCTGATTTCCTCCAGTGCTAAAATTGGTTTAACAACGCGTCCTATACGTCAAATAGCCCTCACAACAGCGCCCCATTGTGTCTACAGCCCAGACAACTCAGGGCAGGGAGAAAGACTACAACTCCCATAAACGCAAGTGCTTCCGTGACGTCACACGACGCGCCCTCTGGCACTAGAAAAGTACTGTTTTCCCATTGGTTAGCTGTTGTAGGCGCCTGCGCAAATGGTGAAGTTCCCGCTCCCCACCCCCCCCAACCTTGTGACGCGATGCGTCGCCCGAGCAGTTCTGGGATAGCGATGGGGACGCCGGGCGGATCGGCTCGGGCTATTTTGCTGCCCGTCGAGTCCGGGCACCCAAGGAAGCGCGCGGCGGGTGACACTGGAACTGCGAGGAGCAAGCAGCGGGTCCTGGATGAGGAAGAGTATATCGAGGTATGACCTCACTGCGAAAGTGGGCGACTTCCGGGTCCTTTTCTGTTTCGCATTCCTCTGGGTCCCGGCACTCGCTTCAGCTTGGGGACGTGTTAACAATTGATTCTCTTCCCTTGCGGCATAGAAAGTCTCCAGAGACAATTAACCAGTGCTGAGGGAAATGTCCTTACTTGGGGAGGCACTAGCAGGAGAAAGGGGGGGGGGGGGGAACAGTTCTGTTGTATGTGGTAAGGACCAGAAAACAAAGTTTTCCATTAAATTGTGAATTTCAGAAGGTTGATAAGTTTGAAGGATGATGGCAAGAAATGGCTTTCTAGAAGGCAGTGACGACACATGTAAAGGCCAGGACAGGGGATGTCCTGGAAATCAGCTGTTATTGTGGCAGTATCTTTGAGTGGGTGGTCCATGGATGTCCCTCGATGTAGGAGTTGGTTGTTACCACAAACACGCTGGACTCAGAAGGAGCTCTCTCAGGGATTAGAGGCGGGCAGTTTGATTTTAGGCTGGATGTACACATTTTGCAACTCAAGAGCAAGATCTGACTGGAGGTGATGACAGGAATTTCATCCGGTGGTGGTGGTGGTGGTGGTGGTGGTGGTGGTGGTGGTGGTGGTGGTGGTGGTGGTGGTGGTGGTGGTGGTGGTGGTGACTGGTTGAAGTCACTCAGGAGGACGGTTTGGATTGGAAATAAGCTCAAGGCCTAGTGGCTCACACTTGTAAGCTTGTAAGCTCTGATGATCTCCATTCAAAGCCAGCTGGGGCAGAAAAGTCTGTGACACTGATTAGCTGCCAAAAAAGTCTGGAAGTGAAGCTGTGGCTCAAGTAGTAAAGCACTAGCCTTGAGAACAAAAACTCAGAGAAAGCTGGGTATCTGTGACTCACACCCGTAAGCTACTCAGCAGGCTGAGGTCAGAAGATCATGGTTCGAAGCCAGCCCAGTTTTTTTTTTTTTTTTTGTCGGTCCTGGGGCTTGAACTTTGGGTCTGGGGGCTAGCCCTCAGCTCTTCAGCTCAAGGTGAGCGTTCTACCACTTGAGCCATAGCTCCACTTCTGATTTTCTGAGTGATTTATTGAAGATAAGAGTCTTTCGGGGGCTGGGAATGTGGCTCAGTGGTAGAGCATTTGCCTTGCTTGCATGAGGCCCTGGGTTCAATTCCTCAGCACCACATAAGCAAAAAGAAAAAAGCCGGAAGTGGCGCTGTGGCTCAAGTGGTAGAGTGCTAGCCTTGAGCTGAAGAGCTGAGGGACAGCACCCAGGCCCAGAGTTCAGGCCCCACAACCGGACCCCCCGCCCTCCCCCCCCCCCCAAAAAAAAAAAAAGAGTCTCTCGGAGTTTCCTTCCTGGGCTGGCATGTTGAACCACGCGATCATCAGATCTCAGCTTCCTGAGTAGCTAGGATTACAGGTGTAAGCTACTGACACCGGGGTTCCATGAGACTCTTATGTCTGATAAACTACTCAGAAAAAGCCAAAGTGGCAGCTGTGGCTCTAGTGGGAAAGCTCTGCCTTGAGCAAAAAGGAGCTCAGGGACAAAGCCCAGGCC